GTCTTAAGAAGACGTGGGTTAAGTTTTATTTCGATTGATGCTTCATTAGTCTGCTTGTACCGCGAACACAGATCGTTCGTTTACCTTACAGATCTTCCCTATATTTTGTAATGTCAAATTTTTCCAATTATGATATAGTTGGTTTGCTTGTAAACGAATAGAGATTTCAAAGTTTAACACCTAGAGCTTACTCGATTAAAACTGAACTGAATTCAGTAAACGAGAGTTGCGTAAGATAAGTAAGGGTGCATAAACATGATTGTCCGCATTATATCTACGAGCAAAATTTCTCAATTTCTTTTTTATTAACGTCTTTTTGCCACCCTTTTTCGCTAATTAATATTTCACACCAATAATAGAAATCCATGCCATAAGAATGTCACTGGCGTTACGCTATAGCTTATAATTATAAGCTTAAATGATTAATCTTCTAACTGCTGGTTTTAGATTTGTGCTGAACGCTCCAGTAGTTTTCTTCGTTTTGTACCTACACAATTTATGGATAGAAACACCACAACATCTAGGCATCACCTAAAGTTTGGATAAGAATTTCTTTACCATAAATTTGAACTTTTATCCTACTAAACATGAACTTACATTTACTGGTTAATTTAAAATAATTTCATTCTTTCGTTAATGCGTTTGTGCAGGACATTTGTTTTTGGTGTTTCTTGACCCCACCACGCTGCTCTAGCCGACTTTAACCTCGGTTGGGCGAAGTTTCACATATAAAGCCAATACTTATTTCTATGATTTTTGTACGGGACGGAGAAGCAGCGGACAACTGCTATTCACTTACGGAGGTGGATGGCACGTCGGCTGTAAGTTATTTTATTTAAAAAAACTAATAGCCTCCATAGGAAGTACAGGGGTTTAGAAGATCAAGAGTGAAACATATTTTAACATGGACGGCTTTTATTTTAACGGCTTTTATCCTACGCTTGATTTTCCACTGGCTACCACAATGGTACATACGCTGTACGAACAGTCGGTGCAAACCTTCTGAAGCAGAACGCTTTTTGATTAAAGTAATTTTTTCGTTCGTTTCCATTCGCTTATTTAAAGGATTCTTCAGGGATATATTATGTCGTTGAGTCAGAAGGGGTCCATGCGGACGTTAGGTTTGTTATTGCAGGAATTATTACTTATTGTAGACATATATTAAGTGCGGAAACATTCGAAATTGAGATCGACGGTTCGCTGTCAAGCATCGTAACAGATGAGCAACCAGGGACAGTAACATCCGAACGTTTAGTAAGTTTTTTCGTCCCTTAATTTGTTAGAATTGTCCTCAGGCCCCATGGTTTCAATACAAGAAAATAAAGTATGTGATCAATCCCGAGACAGAAGAAATCAACATGCTAAGGTTTGTTTTTTTGCAAAGTTTTCGCATTTGATAAAAAACCTGTCTACATTTTGCATTCTGGTAATCTTACTTAAATGTTAGACTTGATCATCGCCTCCCTATGCAGTCACAGCATTTATATGGTCTTTGATCGTAAACGTATATCGCACTGCATTTAAAATTGTTAGAAGCTCTATTCAAATTACATTTTTTGCACATGCTTAAATTTCCCTTGTAGGGGCTGGGAGGAGCGCCCCGTT